CAAAGCATATCTAAATGTCCAAAAATATTCAACACATTCCAACCCAAATATTCATACAAAATATAAATATCAAAAATGACCATTCGATGAGTCTATATCAAAATATATCCTGCTCCATGAGTCCATCTCCATTATATATTTCTAAAAAGTAAATAAATAAATAAATAAAAGAATCAATCATAAAATGTGTATCAACAAATCCTGATACCAATATGATCCAATCTCACACTGCTACACTAAAACTGCCCTTGAAAACCGTGCCTATAAAAGCTAGGTAAAACTTACAAACAAGCCAAAAAATTGAATTGAGACAACAGAGTTATTTCAAAAAGATAACTATGACAATCAAGGCAAAAATTAAATCAAATATAAAAGAAACAAACTTGCAGGCAAACATTACAAACAAAAATCTTCAACCTAGCTTGAGCCAATCTGTCATAATTTGTGGTTACTGTTGCAAATATGAAATGAAATTTCAGTATCAGGGTCGAATAGTTTTCTCTCTCCACTGTGAATGCCCTCACATTCATTGGGGCAAACCACCAGCCTGTCAAAGGGCAAGTTTTTTTTTTCCTTCTCCTTTGCAGAAACTCTCTTAACAAGGTTATAGTGATGGATTAATCCACTAAGAAAGCCCCGTCCTAGTGAATAATAAAATAAGTATAGGTTTTTTTTTTTTCTTTTTTTTTCCCTCTCCATATGGATATTGACATAGTCGAGGCTATAACCATAGAACTCTTTCACTTGGGTTCTTTATTTGGGTTTAACTGCCAAGTGGCTACTAAAAAGTGAAAGCAACTCCTACTTATTTCTCTATCTTGAAAAGGAAATCAGGAAATTCAGTATTTCATTTTTCCTCTATTTGCATGGGGTTCATATAATTAAGTTTTTGTATAAGAAGATTTCAATATAACTACATTCACCTAAACAATTGAAGATATCAAGTTTTTGCATATATCAATGTTAATGTAAAAGTTTTGACAAACTAACCATGAACCAAGTTTAGCCTCTACAAATGGTTGAACAAAAAAACTACTACTATTTTTTATCGTACAAGTTAGAAGCATGAATACTACTAGCGATCCAAGACATCTATACCATGATGATATATATGCATGCTCTTTCGATTTAATGGTCCGAACCAATTAGGCCAAAATGGTTTAGTTTTCTTTTAGCTATTGTTAAAACCTATTAATACACTTCTTTTGACCTAGATACTTATATTCAATTATCAGTGTTTGTATGAAAACATAACACTTGTTTATGAGTTCAACAATATCGTTGATTATGAGATTGAATGCAACTGATATTTCTCGAGCAGGTTATTGTGGAAAACAAGACAACGACAAGAAGTTTCCCATGATAGCAAATCTGCTATCAGAAGTTTTCCCTAATAAAATTACTATCGACATGCTAGAGGTGCCTAGTTTATTTTTAGGTTGTTACTTGTTCACCATGTATTTTTCAAAGTATCTAACGATAGGCTTGCAAAATGATGCAGGATGAGACGCATAGGTTGTAATATTTCGTCTTTATGATACTGGCATATCTGTAACATATCTCACAAATAAAATGTGGCCTTTTGGTCCACTTTTTCTTGAATTTATATCTTGTTTTCTGCTTCAGTACTAATTAAATTTCATTTTTGTCAATTTTATTGATGATCAGTTGTAGTCATACGACAAGAGTTATTACTTGTCTTTTCTGAAATTGTTTCTTTGGTTCATGATTTGCAACTAAAGATAATTCTTTAATACTTGTTTGGATATGAGTGGTAGCAAACATACTTGTTTTGTGGTTTATTGTCATTGTCGAAATAAGTCTTTTTGGCCCAAATCTCTAGTCCAATCTCAAATCCTATAGTTTGTGTGTAAACACTTTGTTTGTAGAAACATCTCTCATGATTCAAGTCACCAACAATATGACTAAAGATCAAATCACTCAGGTCCGATTGGAATTTTTTTATTCTTATTTTTTATGTTTGCAATGAAATGCCATTTATCTTTTGTTTTATGAAATTTCAATTATCCCTAATATATTATGAGTTGGATGCTTGGATTTTTTATGAATAATTTGTCTCTTTGGCCGATTGTAATTTTGTTAGAGATAAATTTTTATGTCATTGGTTCTATATTTATATATAATATGAAAAAAAAAATTTAAATCCATATTCATATATGTTAATGGTAAGATACACTGCACAATACATGAAAGTAATACAATCATACACAATACATCAACAACAATGCTTTCGAATTAGAAGCTTGTTTTAGTGCAACTTTTGAAGACATGTTTGCATTGTTGAGATGACAAAACATGCTTATTAATATTTTATTTTTGTTTTCTTTTAAAAAGATTGTTTATTACACTTTTCACCCTTATAATTTAACTCAAATTTCACTTTGGTCTTTATTGTTTCAATTTAAATAATTTGGTCCTACATTTTATGTTCAGTTTCAAAAATCATAAATTGACAGGTATCCCAAAATCATAAATTTTAGCCTCCAATTCGGATGAAAGGACCAAATTCAAGCTGAAATTAAAGTGTAAGGACTAAATTGTTCAATTTGAAATAACAGGGACCAAAATGAATTTCGATTTAAACTGTATGGGTGAAAAGTGTAATCAACGCTAAAAGACTTTCTCACAAACAACTAGTTAAAATCAAATTTTGATGTTAATAATTTGCTTTATTCTTCATGTCAAAAGCCTCAATAAATGTTAGTGCACTTCTAATCATCTGTATCAATTCATATTTCAATATCTACTTGATTTTCTATATAAAATTTCGTTAATAAGAACATAAATTATAGGGGGCTTTTATTGGCCAAGTTGGTTTTGCTACCTTAAATTTTCTTTGCTTACTTTTGTCACTAACACTTGGGCATTAGCTAGTAAATTTATTAGCTATTTCTTATCAAGACCACTCCAACCCAAAGTTGTTAATCTTTTCCACTTTAGTTAGGAACATACCAGTGTGACCAAAAAATTATATCTTATCTTTTTTCCATCTTGTGTTGCATTGTTTGGGGTTCCTTATTGTTTGAGGTTGTATTATTTGCTTGAGGAGTACATTTCCATGCTTAGAAAAAAATTTGTTTTTGTTTTGTAATATAAATCAAGAGTAAGGTTATTAATCACAAATCACACAAAAAGGCTATTCCGGGCAAAAGAAATAATTGGTAATGTTAGAATAGATGTTGTTTATTTATATACATAGTGTCTTTTGTTGTTATTAGTAAGGATATTGTTGTCGTTATGTTATTTAATCAATATAAATATGGACTGAGGTGGAGGGTATGAAGCACAGCCCTAATACCTATTCGTAGAATTTTTGTTTGCTTTCCGTCTTCTCTATTCTTTTTCTCTCTATCCCTAACGTTAATCTCACATATTATATAATTCAACTGGTAAGATGATCAAACACATCCTATCTTTAATGGTTGGCTGCATGAAAGTGTAGTGGTAAGATTAAAGCCAATTTTTTCAGTTGAAGATTTTAAGGAGGAGTTACAGGGACGAGGACATGGAGATATCACAGTTAGAGTCGGTGGTGGAAGACAATTAGTTCTCTCATTTCAATCAGTGGAAGCTATGAAGGAAAAGTTACCGTTCATGAAGGACTGGCTTACAGCTTGGTGTGAATCGATTGAGGAATGGGAAGACAGCATGGTCCTGGAATAGGTGAGGCAGGTGTGGTTAAGCTGTTATGGTGTGCCACTGGTCCTGTGGAACAATAACACGTTTTGCAGCATAGGTAAAGAGTGGGGTGAGGTTCTGAAATTGGACGAAGATACAGCTAATCTGAAAGCCTTCCATTGCGGGAAGGTAAAGGTAGCAACAAGGCACATGGGCGCCATTAATCATACCTTAAATCTAGAATGCAAAGGTATCCTATACCCAGTCCGGATCTGCGAGGAACAAATTATAGTATCACAAGTAGTAAAAGAATATTGTATCTGCCAATCCTTCATGAGGAACAACGCTGATAGTTACAGTTCAGAGGAAGAAGTTGAGAATATTGCAGATCGAGGCAGCAGACAAGAGGTAGAAGAGGATGACGTGGAAGTCCATATGGGTGATGAGGTGGCTAAAGACTGTGATGTGGAAGAAGGGGTTAGGGTGGATGCACAAGTTAACACGAATGACTTGGAGGAGGATGCCAGCTTGAGGGTGGTTTCGGTGGTGGAGGAGACAGACATGATGGAGGGAGCGTCAGGGGAAGGCACCTCACGTAAGGAGGGCGCTGAAAAGAAGCTCTGTAAAGGAGTGTCAGAGAAGGGTGGTGCACGCAAGGAGGGTAGCTGTAGAGTTGATGATGAAGTGGTCACATCTGGGTTCATAAGAAGCACGAGTGGGTCTGTTGGGAAGCAACCAGGAATTAACCTGGAAGTAAATTTAAACAGGGCCCATTTTGAAACATGTAGGATTGGGTCGGCCCAAAGGGCTGAAGCTCCACTTATTTGGGCTGATAATAGTAGCAACTCTATCACTGAATCTACTAATGGAGTGGGGCAATCCAATTCTGAGTTTAGGAGGGTGTCCAACAACCAATCACCTCCTGAACCTGCTATTGGTGAGGAGCAGCCCAACTCAGTGAGCAGAAGGGTGAATACAACTTATATACGAAGGAAATATATGGAGTCAGGAGTAGAGAATAAAAGCCATAAATTTTCTCAGATGGGGAAGAAAGCAGTGGGAAAGAAATTTGTGAAGCCACCAATGAATCTAGGGAAAGGGGCAGTGTTCAGGTCAACAGTAGCTGCTATTTCTCTATCTATGGCAAGTAAGTCTAGTAGAGGATGCTTGAGATTATCGGAGGCAGAAGCATCACTTCAGATTGGTAAAGTGTTGGGGATAGCCTGTGATGGTAAGGAAGAGGAGATAATTAGCAAGCTAGAGGAACTAGAGGCCAACGATAGAAGGAAAGTGGGGTGTAGGGGAGGTGAAGCTAAATGAGCTATCAATTCTGGGAGCCTGGGTGTTAAACAAGTCTTGCAATGAAGATACAATCTTGGAATGTTAGAGGCCTTGGCAGGCCTGAGAAAAGGAGAAAAATAAAAAAAAGTCTGGCTGGAAGGAAAATCAGTTTAGTATTGATCCAAGAGACACAGAGTTCAACAATAACTCCTGAAGTAGTAAAATCCATCTGGTACGAAGATAATTTTGAGTTTATGGCAGTTGATGCAGAAGGCAGAGCAGGTGGGCTGTTATGTATTTGGAATCCAGGGGTGTTCCAATTAAATTCTTGCTGTGGCAACCGTAATTTCATCCTGTTGTCAGGTACTCTTTTTTCCTCCTTTAATTGTGTGATTGTTAATGTATATGGCCCATCGGAGGTGGCTAAGAGGAAAGAACTATGGGATAATTTTGCTCGGTTAAAAAATACCTTTTTGGGGCCATGGTGTATGGGGGGCGATTTCAACGAAATAAGGACCAACTCAGAAAGAATTGGGTGTTCTCGAAGAGACAGAGGAATGAGGGAGTTTAATAACATGATTGACCAATTAGAAATGATTGATTTACCAATGCTAGGTAGGAAATTTACCTGGTGTAACTCACAAATTCGAGAGAAATGGAGCAGAATTGACAGATTTTTACTTAATCATGAGTGGCTACAAAACTTCAATTTCAAGTTATGGGGACTTCCTAGGATACTATCTGACCACTGTCCTATAATTTTGATGGAGGACGAAAGAGATTGGGGACCTAGACCTTTTAGCTTTCTGAATGCTTGGGCTCTCCACCCCAAGTTTATTTCCTTAGTGGAGGAATCTTGGTCAGAATCTCAAGTGTTCGGTTGGGCTGGGTACAGATGTCTTAAGAAGCTTAAAGCCTTGAAACAAAAATTAAAAGTGTGGAATATTGAAGTGTTTGGGAAGATTGAATTTAAAATCAAAGCTGCTGAAGAGGAAGCACATGCTATTGAATTAATTGCTGAAGAAAGAGCACTCCTGGGGAATGAACAAGCTCGAAGAAGGGAACTCATGGGGGAAGTTTGGAGATTGAATAAAATGCTAGAATGGTCATGGTTACAAAAATCAAGAATGGATTGGGCCTTAAAAGGTGATAGGAACACAAGGTATTTTCACATAATGGCTTGTAACAGAAATAGCAGGAACTCTCTGTGTTCAGTGATGGTAAATGGTGTAAGGGTTGAGGAACCTATGGAGGTCAGACACGTGGTGTTGACTCACTTTAGGAATCTCTTCTCTGAAACGTGGGTTGTTAGACCTCACTTAGATGGGCAGTTCAAGAATATTGGTGGAAGACATGCAGTGGATATGCTAGAAGCAGAGTTTACCGAGGAGGAAGTTAGGAATGCTATCAAGAGCTGTGAAGGCAATAAAGCTCCTGGGCCTGATGGCTTTAATTTGGCTTTCTTTAAGAAATGTTGGGGAATAGTTAAAGCTGAGGTAATGCTTTTCTTCAGAGAGTTCCATCAGAATGCCACATTGGTGTCTGGTTTAAATAGCTCTTTTCTTGTTCTAATCCCAAAAGTGGACAACCCATCACACTTGAGCGAATACGGCCCATAAGTCTTATTGGCTCCTTGTACAAAATCCTAGCCAAAGTTTTGTCACACAAGATGAAACAAGTGATGCCAGAGGTAATTAGTGAGGCCCAATCTGCGTTCCTGGGGGGAAGGAATATTCTTGATGGGGTTCTTATTGCAAATGAGATAGTGGATGGGTGGAGAAAATGTAATAGGAAAGGTTTGGTTTTGAAACTAGACTTTGAGAAGGCATATGATTCGGTAAATTGGGAATTCTTATTCAGCATGCTATCCAACTTTGGATTTGGAAATAGGTGGGTGAAAGTAATTAGTGAGGCCCAATCTGCGTTCCTGGGGGAAAGGAATATTCTTGATGGAGTTCTTATCGCAAATGAGATAGTGGATGGGTGGAGAAAATGTAATAGGAAAGGTTTGGTTTTGAAACTAGACTTTGAGAAGGCCTATGATTCGGTAAATTGGGAATTCTTATTCAGCATGCTATCCAACTTTGGATTTGGAAATAGATGGGTGAAATGGTTGAAAACCTGTGTTACCTCCACAAAGGTGTCGGTCCTGGTAAATGGCTCTCCAACTGAGGAATTTTGTCCACAACGAGGTTTACGGCAAGGCGATCCACTGTCACCTTTTCTATTCAATATAGTGGCTGAGGGGTTGAATATTTTGTTTGAGAGAGCCAAGGAAATGGGTTTAATCCAAGGAGTTGCCATTGGTAATAATGGGGTAAGAGTTACGCATCTACAATTCGCCGATGATACAATTATATTTTGCGAAGCTGAGTGGGTGGAAGTGGTGACCATCAAAAGAATTCTCAGGTGCTTTGAAATTCTTTCGGGGCTGAAAATTAACTAACATAAGAGTGTGATTGCTGGCATTGGAGTAGAGGAGGGTCTGATGCAAAGTTTTGCAACTAAATTAAATTGTGTTCACCAAAAATTGCCTTTAAAGTACCTTGGGTTACCTCTAGGAGCTAATCCTAGTAGGTTAAGCACTTGGAAGCCAGTTTTGGACAAACTTAAGCAAAAATTATCCACATGGAAGAGAAGGTTGCTATCGTTTGCTGGGAGGCTGACTTTAATTAAATCTGCTCTGAGCAACTTGCCTACTTATTATCTGTCATTGTTCAAAATACCCGAGGGGGTGGCAAAGGAAATTGACAAAATTCAAGCTAAGTTTCTTTGGGGGGGATCAGATTTAAGAAGGAAAGTTCACATGGTTAGTTGGGAGAATATTACCAAGAGCAAAACTTTGGGAGGTTTGGGAATCAGAAGAATCACTGATATGAATAAGTGCCTCCTACTGAAATGGTGGTGGAGGTTTGGGGTGGAAAATCACTCGCTATGGAAGGAAGTCATATGCTCAAAATATAACATGGGGGGTGGAAGATGGCTGCCAGATTTGGAAGGAAGAGGTAGAGGTTCAAAAATTTGGTCTGACATAGTTACTGCAATTACCTCTAAGCCTGTATTACATAACTTCTATCTTGAAAACTCTGCAATTATTTTGGGGAATGGTAGGAGAGCACAATTCTGGAGGGATAAATGGGCAGGGGAGTTGTGTTTAAAGGATGAATTTCCCAGACTGTTCTCTCTCTCTACTGTCAAAGATGGAGTAGTGGCTGACTTCTACTCCAGTAGTGGAGGGACCCAGGACTGGCTTTTCGAGTTTAGGAGACCTCTGTTGGCTTGGGAAGATGAGGAGGTGAATAGGTTACATACCATACTCAGGAGTGCACCGGCTATGAGGGTCATGTCGCCCGATATATGGATGTGGAGGGCTAATTCCTCTGGGATGTATTCTGTTGCTTCAGGTTATAGAAAATGTGAATCATTATTGGGTCCTGATAGGAAAGTGACAAAGGAAGTATGGAACAACTGTGCACCACCAAAAGTTAAATTCTTTGGGTGGTTGGCTTGGTTAGGCAAGTTGAAAACATCCAGCTATCTCCAAAGAATTGGGATTCTAGATGAGGCTGCCAATGTTAGCTGTGCTTTCTGTCAAAATGAGGTGGAATCGGTCAACCATATCTTGCTCTTTTGCCCATTTGTCTGGCTACTGTGGTCTCAGATTATGAAGTGGTGGGGTGTTCAGTGGGTGATGCCAAAATCAGTGGAAGGGCTATTGCAGTGGTGGTCATTTTGCAAGATGAAGAAGCTTGAGAAAGTGATGTGGAAGGTTATGCCTTTGGCTGTCCTTTGGTCCATTTGGAAGCATCGGAATGATTGCATCTTTAATGGCGCTCAACCAAATTTAGAAGATTTATGTGAGGTCGTCAAAGTAAGAATCGCTTTGTGGGTAAAATCCTCCCCAGCCAAAGTAGAGTTCTCCATTAATGATGTAGTTTTTAATTTGCACCAGGTTCATTATTGTTTAAGGCAGGGAAGCTAGGTATAGGCTGTCTTGATGCATTCACTGGACAGTGGTATTGAGGATGAATGTTGCTATCTGTTGTATGTTGATGCCTTAATGCATTCACCAGGTTCATTTGTTGCTGTCTGATATATGTTGCTGTCTGTCTAGCTGCTAATCTGGTTGCTAATCTGCTAGAGTGCAGAGGACAGTGGTTTTGGAGGATGTTAACAGGTTAGAGTGCTGGGCAGTCCGCAGTGTGCTTTCATCTGTTATGCTACTCATATGCTGGAGTGCAGTGGATAGTGGTCTTAAGTGTGCCTCTGTTCTGTTGTTCATCTGCTAGTCATCAGGAGTGATGAATCAGAAATGGAGTGCTGCTCTGTTGGGGGCTGCGAAGTGATGTATTACCTCATGGCACTGTCCTAAGGCAGCATGGTGTTTAGTTTTGCTACTGCTGCTGTCGCTAAGTGGGCTGTTCTGTGGGTTGTTCTCTGCTGTGGTGTATTGGGTGTTGGTTGCTATGCGCAGGTTGTGGCTGTGGGGGTCGTTTTGGCTGCAGTGCATTTCTGATGTTGGCTTATGGTTTGGGGCATTTGGACTGAGGCCTTTTTGTTTCACTGATTTTGATTGAGGATTGGTCTTGTTGGTGGCTGTTTTGAATGTGGAATGGTCTTGCTTCATTCTGCACTGCTGCACTAATGTTTGGGGGGTGAATCTGCTCTGCTGGTGTTGATGTTCTATCTGGGGGGTGAATCTGCTCTGCTCTGCTGGTGAATCTGCTCTGTTGTATCTGTCCTATTTCAGGGTTTGTTTATGTGAGCTCAACCTGATGTTGATGTTCTATCTGTTATGTTTTTTCTCTGAATACATGGAGTACTGCTGCTGGTTTGGTGCTGTTGGTTGCTCTGCTGGTTATGCAGCATTGTGAATTGGTTATGCAGCAGCATTTTGAATTGTTGTAATGGATGTTAGACCTGGACTGGGGCATTTCCAACCCAAAGTTGTTAATCTTTTCCACTTTAGTTAGGAACATACCAGTGTGACCAAAAAATTATATCTTATCTTTTTTCCATCTTGTGTTGTTTGGGGTTCCTTATTGTTTGAGGTTGTATTATTTGCTTGAGGAGTACATTTCCATGCTTAGAAAAAATTTTGTTTTTGTTTTGTAATATAAATCAAGAGTAAGGTTATTAATGACAAATCACACAAAAAGGCTATTTCGGGCAAAAGAAATAATTGGTAATGTTAGAATAGATGTTGTTTATATATAGAGTGTCTTTTGTTGTTATTAGTAAGGATATTATTGTCGTTATGTTATTTAATCAATATAAATATGGACTGAGGTGGAGGGTATGAAGCACAGCCCTAATACCTATTCTTATAATTTTTGTTTACTTTCCGTCTTCTCTATTCTTTTTCTCTCTATTCCTAACGTTAATGTCACATATTATATAATTCAACTGGTAAGATGATCAAACACATCCTATCTTTTGTATGATCTCACTTTCCATTTTTTCATTTGCTTCTCCCCAAATTCTGGAGCCTCAGTCCTCGTAAAGATCTAGGGATTCGAGTTCAATTTGATTACAAGTGAAACAAGGAAGGATGTTTTTGGTTGGATAGCAAAGCACAGACATTTGAAGTTTGATATAACTAAGCCCTAGATCTAAAAGAAGATAAGAGTGATTCAAGTTGTTCCTTCTTACAAACATTTAATTTATTTTATTCCAACATAAAAACACACAAGCACTTAGTACTTTTGATTCTGATTCTGATTATTCCTGTCATTTATTTTTTCCCCTTTTGCTAATTTTCTTGTTGAATGACGTGCTTGAATTTTATTACTTTCAGAAGGTGAAATTTTTTATTAGTTTGTAGTAAGTTTTATATTGTTTCTTTTATTTCGTTTTCGTTGCAATCTGATGCAATTAAATTGTCAAATTAGAGCTCTAGAAAATAAACTAATGATTCCATAGATATATGAACAATGTATTTCTTCCTTTTGTGTTTCATTTTGTGCCAAAGGCATTTTCATATGTCCAAACCTATAGCTTTTGATTCCATAGATATATGAACAATGTTGTTGTTTGTCTTATTTTTGCTCATCTGTCAAATTCTTACATGTTCTCGACATTATTGTAGGATTATTTCTTCCTCTCAAATGAAAGAATAGAAGAATGACATTTCATTTGTTCTTGAGGACAATTATTTTCACATTCTTATTTGCCATCCTGCTGAGTTTCTGCGTTATCGTGGGAGGTATGTGTGCAAGGCTTGGGCTAAAATTATATCCGACCCTTCTTTTATCAAGGCATGCTTCATTCAATCAAAGGGTGGCTTGTTCTTCTAGAAGTTTTGTAGGCCATTTCATTCATGATTCCTTGAGTTTAATGATGGAGAATGCAAAATGACATACACATATTGTCCTGGACAAATGATCTCTAGTTCTAGGGGTTTATCGTTGTTTTTCAACTTATTTGTGGATAGATTTCTTTTTGCTGGGAGCCATGTGACAATGCAATACAAGTACTTACCTCTTCCTATTGTGAATGGTGAGTGTTTGTTCTCTTCTCATATTGCTTTCATTTCTCACACTCAGGAGTACAAGCTGGTATGCCATTGTAAAATCTTCAGTGGAGAACATAGATGGTTTGTATTGTTTGTGGGTAATAA